CACACCTCACCGGAGTAAGCGGCGGGGCCGCAGCTGCTAGCGCCGCCGTGACGGGAGAGCGTCTCCGTGCTGGCTGAGGGACCCGCAGCGCCTCACACCGGGTTTTTTTTAAGAAAAGCTGCCATGCTGGGGGCAGTAGCTTGGCTTGTGTTGGTGTAGGTACGCGGTAGGTGCTGCTTGTGCGGAGCGACCAGGAACAAAGCTGAATCTTCAGAGGCTTTGATAGGAACAGCTCAAATAGACTTGAAAAGGAGAAGCTTGGCTGCAAATCAGGCAGCAATTGATCGATCCTGTTGCAGGCGTCGGATATTCAGCCCTTGAAGCAGCGCCCTGGCTTGCTTCTAGGTCTGGCAGGCTCTGTGACCTGGCATTGCCCATGTAGAGAACAACCAGACAAGGCAACCAGCATACTCTTCCAGATGATTTTGCCTCAGTCCCTCAACTCTCTCAGACTTCTGACTCTGTGCTTAAGTAATACAACGATAAGCCAGGCACCAACTTACTAACTGCAAAGTGATTCGCTCTGCACAGCAGGGTGCAGTAGCTAGTCTGACAGACCCATGCCCCTAGCAGAAAAGGGAGCTTGTCCTGCTAACTGCAGGGTCAGTGCAAGCCAAAAGGCAGCTGCTGCTGTGGCTGGGACGGTGCAAGCCCACCCATTTCAGCAGTTGTGTGATCTTACACTAAGGTCAAGCTGATCTTGTTGCACTACAGTGTGCATTTGTTATCCTAGATTCAGATACCAGCAGGCCATTATGCTATCTTTCTTTGCATTTTTATTAAAAAATTATATAACCAAAATGTGGAGAATGGAAGTATCTGCCTATCTTGGTAATTCGATGCTGGGCATTCATGGTTTGTCATTTCACTTTTTTCAGTTCTAGGTCCTTTACAGATTATCTTAAGCTGTAGTTCTGTAAGGTGCAGTGAGCTTATGTGACAGCTGTGTGAGCTCAGAATGAGGCTTTTACCACTTTCTTTATGTTAGTACTAGCATTGATAAGATCCTTCTACAATCAATAAAATAGCATAAAGCTATCATTACGTGATTTTCTACTGGGTTGCCGGAGTGGCCCACAGAAGGATTCAGTGAACGCTGTGTAAGGAAATAAAGAAATTTTCATGTGCACGTCAGTCTATGAGAGGCGTTCAGCTTCCTAGGAATCTGTAGCTTGCATTTGGTTATCACAATCGTGAGGAACCTCAGAAAACACTGATAGGACTGCACATGTGAGTAACATTAATACAATCTGTGATACAATTTTAAAAAAGAAAGTAAATTCAAATCACATAATTTAATGGTAGCTGTAACTAAGGAGATCAGACAAACTTAGGTAAAACTAGTTAGAAAAACAGTGCATTTAATTTGTCTTAAAATATGTTGGGTAAAGTAACTGTGATTTATGTTTCTTAACAGATTTCAGATATACAATGCAGAAGAGGTTTCCGTCAATTCTGGAAGGTAGGTTTGCAGTTGTTGGCTTCAGAAAGATGGCTGAAGCTTCTGTACACGTTATGTATAAAACCGATTTTATTACTGCTTAAAACTCACCCCAGTAGGCATTGTAGAAGTGTTTACCGTTAGGTACAGGTGTGGCTGGAGTGTCAGACTGCTGGATGGAGCCCTCAGAACTGGAGGGCTACAAATCCAACAAAACTAGCCACGAAGTGGCTGATCTTCAGACACGCCTAACTTACAGCTGACATGGATTTTCTTATTTTTCAGTGTATTACAAATCCAATGAGTGGTCTGGAATTCACGGCATAAGGGAGAATGACCAAATGGCATGGTTAAGCAGCAAGAACTAAAGTAAGAAAGATGTCTGATTACTTTAGAATAATTACTGTACAAATGTCTGCATTAAAATGTCCAGTTCATCTTTTTGATTTCTTGCCTTTGAACTTGTTTTTCAGCCCTCTGTGCTTGAACTGTTTCTTCTTTTTGATGATGCTTTTCACATCCCTGTTGTGAAGCCACTTGTCACGCTCTATTTCCCACTGAATCTGTTTGACATCTGTAAGAGGAAAAGTGAGAAATAAGGAGCCAATGAATACCTCTGCCTATGATGTGGAATACTGATGAATCATGTAAAAGTGAAAACTTGGCTACTGTATTTATAAATGTTAATAAAGTGCAAGCTGCGAATTAGGATTACATCTATCTGCTATTTGTAGCATGTACTTACTCGCATTATCTCTGTTGGCCATGGCGTTCATTCCAGTATTGTCAAACTTCGACCCAGAATTTTCATCCAGCAGGTAGCCAAACTTTAAAGAGAGAAATTGTAGAATTTTGTTACAAAGAAACAGGTAAAACACTTGATCACGTTTTGCTAAGCACTGATGAAACTTACCTCTTCTGCAGATGCCAGTATACTGGCATCCTTGAGTTTTCTCTTCTTTCCTCGGTTGGATCCTTCAAACAAAAAGTAGTATTCTTACAAGACAGAATTTCAAGTTCACAAAGACAGTAAAACAAAGCACTACCATGTTTTTAGGGTTTTTGTTATTTATTTAATGAGACTATCTAAAATAGTTGTGTTAGAAACGTTTATTCTCCACCTCCCCTGCCAAAAAAAAAGGGGAAACAAACTTTGAGTAGCACAAATCTGTGCACCACATGTTAGTAACAGACATGCAAACTGCCAGCACACCTCCGTTCTGCCTTCCAAACTGCCTCCTTCCATTCCCAGTCCTTCAACAGCAGATTGTCACTCTGAATTAGGCCACACTGGTTGGAGGACAACAGTAAGACCAATTCCTCTTCATTTATGATTTATTCAAATCTGAACCCAGATCCAAAAGTGTAGATAATCTACTTACTAAAACCCTCTGATTTCAAAAGTTTTCCAGACTTTGTATTTGTATTAAGTGTCCTCAAATGGAAAACACGTCCATGTTTGCTTACCTTCAAGTGATTCCACAAAATTCTTTCTCTTGCCCGTTTTGCTGACAGACTTCAATTGCTCATCGTTGTTAGGGTCTGTCAGGAAAAAAAAAAAAAAAAAAATTAATCCCTCCTCTTCAAACCATATGCACATATTTAAAGCATACTAGAAACTAAAATTTCTTTTTAGGCATATTTGTCATAATAGTCTGAGTCTTCACTTTAAAAAAAGTTTAAAATACAGTACATGCAACCAAATCTAGGATTTCTACAACCCAGACAATTATAATTGGTCAGTGGTGTGTTGTTATTCACGGTTTTTTCCCCCACAGGGCCAAAAATGAATGAAATATGATACTAAGATACATAAAATATGAAGGCTAAAAGCAAGTATTATATAATCCTTGAATGTTTGCTTAAGTTTGGTAT